CATGAAAAAGATCATCAATCATGATCAAGTAGGATTTATTCCAGGGATGCATGGATGGTACAACATTCGAAAACCCAACATCATCATCCACCACATCAACAAAGAGGACAAAAACCACACGATCATCTCCATAAATGCTGAAAAAGCATTCACATCCATTCATGAGAAAAACTCTCAACAAAATGGGTATAAAGGGCAAGTACCTCAATATAATAAAAGTCATATATGACAAACCCTTAGCCAACATCATACTTAACAGTGAGAAGTTGAAAGCTTTTCCTTTAAGACTGGAAACAAGACAAGGATGCCGCTCTCCCCACTTCTATTCAACATAGTACTGGAGGTCCTGGCCACGGCAGTCAGACCACACAAAGAAATAAAAGGCATCCAGATTGGCAAGGAAGAAGTTAAACTGTCACTATTTGTAGATGACATGATATTGTACAATAAAAACCCTAAAGAATCTACCCCAAAACTAACAGAACTAATAGCTGAATTCAGCAAAGTTGTAGGATACAAATTAATACACAGAAATCTGTTGGATTCCTATATACTAATGATGACTAGCAGAAAGAGAAATCAGGAAAACAATTCTATTTACAATTGCATCAAAGTCACAGTAATTAAGACAATTTAGGACTGGCACAAGAACAGATCCATAGATCAATGGAACAGAATAGAGAACCCAGATATAAACCCAAGCGTATAGGGTCAATTAATGTATAAATTGATAAAGGAGCCATGGATATACAATGAGGAAATGACAGCCTCTTCAACAACTGGTGTTGATGAAACTGGACAGCTACATGTAAGAGAATGAAGCGGGATTATTGCCTAACTCCATAGACAAAAGTAAATTCGAAATGGATCAAAGACTGGAATGTAAGTCATGAAACCATAAAACTTTTAGAAGAAAACATAGGCAAAAATCTCTTGAATATAAACATGAGCAACTTTTATCTGACCATATCTGCTCAGGCAAGGGAAACAAAAGCAAAAATGAACAAATAGGACTATATCAAACTAAATAGCTGCTGTACAGCAAAGGGCACCATCAGTAGAACAAAAAGGTATCCTGCAGTATGGAAGAACATATTTGTAAACAAAATATCCAACAAGGGGTTAAGATTCAAAATACATAAAGAGCTCAAATGCCTCAACACCCAAAAAGCAGATAACCCAATTAAAAAATGGGCGGAGGATATGAACAGATACTTCTCAAAAGAAGAAATTCAGATGGCCAACAGGCACATGAAAAGATGCTCCACATCGCTAATTATCAGGGAAATGCAAATTAAAACCACAATGAGGTACCACCTCACACCAGTTAATATGGTCAACATCCAAAGAAAAGGAACAACAAATGCTGGTGAGGATGTGGAAAAAGGGGAATCCTCCTACATTGCTGGTGGGAATGTAAATTAGTTCAACCATTGTGGAAAGCAATATGGAGTTTCCTCAAAAAACTAAAAATAGAAATACCATTTAATGTGGGAATTCCACTCCTAGGAATTTACCCAAAGGACACAGATCTCAGTTTCAAAAAGACACATGCACCCCTATGTTTACTGCAGCACTATTTACAATAGCCAAGGTGTGGAAGCAACCTAAGTGCCCATCAGTAGATGAATGCATAAAGAAGATGTGGTACATATCCGCAATGGAATATTATTCAGCCATAAGAAGACAATAAATCCCACCATTTGCAACAACATGGATGGAGCTAGAGGGTATTACGCTCATTGAAATAAGCAAGGTGGAGAAAGACAAGTACCAAATGGTTTCCCTCATTTGTGGAGCATTAACAATGAAGCAAAACTGAAGGAACAAAACAGCAGCAAACTCAGACTCCAAGAAGGGACTAGCAGTTACCAAAGGGAGGGTTGAGGGAGGGAGGGGGTGTGCAGGGAGAAGGGGATTGAGGGGTATTATGATTAGTATACATGGTGTTGTGGGGAGCTATGGGGAAGACAGTGTAGCACAGAGAAGACAAGTAGTGACTCTGTGGCATCTGAACAGTGACTTCAATGGGGTATGGGGAGGACTTGATAATATGGGTGACTTTAGTAATCACAGTGTTTTTCATGTGAAACCTTCATAAGAATGTACTTCAATGATACTTTAATAAAAAAAAGTATGAGGATGGGAAAAGAAGTTATAAAATTGTTATTTGCAGATGACTCTATATAATGGAAAAGACATACAAAGCACTAATAAAGCTGATATACAAAGGTGTCAGTGGAGTTTTGTAAATACCAGCATTAGAAGATGTAATATTTGAAAGTTAATTAGTTAATTTTACACAGAAAATTGCAGAACTTTAATGAAAGAAATGGAGACTACATAAAAATGAAAAACATAATCATGTCATCAAGGAAATGGTTTGACATTTAGAAAGATTTAAAATGTTCCTAAATCAGTCTATAAATTCAATGAATTTCCAGTAAAATCTCAACAGGGTTCTTCCTGGAAATAAAACAATCTGATACTAAAATTAACACAAGAAAGCTTTTTTAAAAGATCACAAGTAGATAGGACAATTTTGTAGCTGAAAAAGGGAACATATGGGCTGATATATTATCAATACTCATAAAGCAACATTAATAAACAGTATGATACCAACATGAGGCACTTTAATGATGGGGGGATTAAGCAGGGAAAAAAATTCCACTTTTCAGTAAATTTGCTGGGACAACTAGCTATTTTTATTTAGAAAAACAGATACAATTAGGTCCTTATTATATATACCAGTGGAATTTCAGATGAATTGAAGACCTCCATGCACAAGATCAAGTTGTAAGCACACATAAGCCTTAATAATGAAAACTTTTGTTACATCAATGTAGGGAAGGACCCATAAACCAGGGACAATAACCAAACCGTAAAGGAAAAAATTGTTAAGTTTGACATTATAAAATTGATAACATGCAAAACAATTAGAAAAAAAAAGGAACAAAAGAGGGAAAAACTGAAAAAAATTTTTTGAGTATTTTTGAAGTGCAAGTCTAGATTAGAAGAAAATATCTCTACAATAAATGTAAGTAACCAAGGCTTACTATATGGAAAATATGAAGAACTACAAATCAGTAAGAAAAAGACCACTGACCCGATAAAAAATGAGCAAATATCATGCATAAGCAATTCTCAGATAAAGACAACACCCAAATGCTCAAACTTATAAGTAATCAGAAAATGCAGATTAAACTAAGGAGATACTATTTCAAAGAATGAGAATCGAAAATTTTTATGATCTGACACTATTAGATGTGTTGGGGTATAGGGAAATATAAGCTCTAATACATTGTGGGAATATAAACTTGGGTGTGATCACTTTTTAGAGTAGTTCTGTAATACTGGCTTTAGTACTATAATATGAGATTTTTATTATTAACATACTTCAAAGTCTGAAAAACTGAGCACTAAAAATGACAGGACTTCTATGGGAAAAAATGGCTAAGGCAAACCTTAGGCAGCCTTGTACCCAGAGCGCTAACAAAATCAATGATTAGTACATGAGGGGACAACTGATCAGCCAGGCAGCCTGGTGAATGTGGCTGGAGGCTGTCACAGTGGGTATTAAAAATGCACAGAAAATAATAGTATGGAAATTCTGAGTGTATTTTGATTAGAGTGGGGCTGGCAGATGCTAAGACAAAGCAAATAGATATAGAGCTCTGGGTCAGCAGGCTGCCCTGAAGGTGAGCTAAGAAGATGGTGCAGCCTGCCATGAGATGGCCTGATACAACTCTTAGGCTGGGAGGAAGCCCTGGGACAGGTCTTCACTGTCAATAACAGTGTGAAAGGAAAAGTCACCTAATAGTTGAAGAGAAATAAGTTATTTAGTCTTTCAAAGGAACACTAATCAGTAGCTAAAATGAATGACCTAAAAACAAGTGTGAACAAGGATAAATTTCAAAGTAATAATGTTAACTACTCAACATCATTAGTAATGAGAGAAATTACAACTAAAACCATGAGACCCATTTCACACACACTAGGATGACTATATAAAAAAGACAGAAAATGACAAGTGTTAGCGAGGATATGGGGTCATTGGAACCCTTACAGATTGCTGGTGGGCATGTAAAGCAGTGCAGTCACTTTGAAAACCACTTTGGCAGTTATTAAAAAAATTAAATGGAAATTCAGGAAATGACCCAGCAATTCTACTTAGTATCTACTCAAGAGAAATGAAAATATATATCCACACAAAGACTTACAGCAGCATTACTCTTAAGAGCCAAAAAGTGAAAACAACTCAAATAACCATCAAATGACGAGTGCGTCCGCAAGACACGGCACACCTACACAGCGCGGTGCCGTGAGGGCAGTAAAGGAATGGAACACTGCTGGACACTGTATGGATGAACCTTAGAACATTATGCTGAGTGAAAGAAGCAAGACACGAAAGATCATGTTGTATGATTCCATTTACAGGATAAATCCAGAAAAGGCGAACCCTGAGAAACAAGGAAGTAGAGTCGTGGCAGCTTGGGGTTGGTGGTGAGAATAGGGGTGACCTGCAGGCAATCTTTTATTCTAAGATGTTCTGAAAGTAAATGTGGAGATGTTTACACAACTGTGCAAACTTACTATAAATCCCTGAAGTATACACTTAAAATGAGTGAATTTCACGTTATATAAATTATACCTCAATTAAATTGTTAAAAAATACAATATTGCATGAAAAAAGCAAGTTGTTTAATCTATACTAAGTAGGCAACTATTAGGCAAAATTTAAAACCTGAAATAACAGTATATATTTTGGGCATACATATGTAGGAAAATACAAAATCATATATGGTCACAATTTGCACCAACTGCAGAATGGCACTGCCTAAGAAAAGATAAAGGAATGGGAGAGAGGTTTTTGTTATATCAACGGATTTATTTCTTAGGAAAAAAAGACTTTGCTAACTCAACCACATACTAGTATCTCAGTGCTAGGTATACAGATGTCTGTTATGGTATCTTCTGCATACTTCAAAAGAAAACCTCACCTTTGCTCAGCTCTGTGTCTTTGTGGACTTCTACCATATTAGCCGGCGTACATGGAAGACTTTCAGGAGACAGAGCCTCAGAATACAGCGTCAGCTCAGCGGAGAGCCCCTGGGATGCATCGCTGTAGCCCACAGATCCTGATAATGTTCTGCTTGATCAAAACATATCCTTTAACACACACTAGATAACGGAGCAATAAAATTTGTTCTGAGATCTATAATAAATGACCACTTACACAGAGAAATCATTCTGTTTGAGAACTTCCTGAAGTCTCTTCTGAAATTTTTTTTCACTTTCTGTTGCCGGCACAAACCTGTGATCTTTGAATTTTAAGAGTGCATTAAAAAACATAGATGGCAAATGAATGAAATATTTTCCTTTCTCCTAGAGTAGCTTTTAAAATGACAGCAATTTTCTATCCTTATCTTGACCCATATAACAACACTTAAAAGCAGTCCTATTATAAAATCAAACAAAAGAGAAATGGCTGTTCCTGAAACTATAAAATTAAGCACTTACAGTCAGTTCAGGATCAAGTTCTATAATTATAACTTAAATATAAAACAGAAAAATTGTTCTCCACCTAGAAATGTATCATATACCCTGAAACTAGATATTTCCCCCTTATAAAACAAAATATTTCTATTTTAAAAGATACAAAAGGCACTTAAAATCTATCAAAGCATTTTTAGTGTCCAAGACACTAATAAAAAGTTCAACTGGACTTCAATATAGGCTTACTACTATATTTCAAAAACATTTGCCTTTTGAATTATTTCTTTTATTATTTTACCTTTATTTTAAAAATTCTGCTGTACCCATGGAATTTACTTAAACTCTCTCAAATTCTTTTAATAATAAAGGGTTTAATAACAAATAAAATGAGTATTTTTTTCAGAGCTGTACAAGATACTCAAAGTGAGAGTTTTTAATGATATACCCAGAAAATAATTTGGGGGCAATATTTCACGGGTTACATTTCCAAAACTTAATGAACTAAACACAGTGTTTCTAAGTTGGGGTTTATGATGTTCTGTGAGTGCTTGATAGCTCATTTTGGAATATAGAAGGTTAAACCATACTAGAGGATGAAAAAGGACAAATAGGTGTAGTGAGAAGACAAGGTATGGCGAAAACTGAGGACGATGAAGATGTCAGTTTCTTATGGGGAAAGAGACAGTGAGAGACACTGTGGAGGCAAAGAATCACGGTCCAGAGCAATGACATAGAAAAAAATTTGAGAATTTAAAAAGTAAAATCTAACGTCAAGGTAAAAACTTAACGGCTTAAACTTTTCCACTAAAATACCTAATTTAAAAAGTATTAGAGTACTACTAGTTTACTGGATACCTTGTGATTCAGGTTGGCTGATTTGAGAAGTTTCACTTCTGTTTCTTCGCCGTTGCTTTTCATCTTCCCATATAGCCTGCAGACCAGGGTTTCTGCCAATTTGAGCTGTAATCACAATAATACTTCAGTAATACAAGGGTCCAAGTGAAAAAACACTTGCTTAAGTATATTAATGATACTTTAATAAAAATTAAAAAAAACAACACCCCATTTGCTTAAAACAAGAAAAGCAAACTTGTACCACAAACACTGCCTTTTAAGAAAAACAACTACCGACTTTGTGTAATAAAATAGACAAAATACCCCAATTCACATTTATTATGCTAATCCTTTTTTAGCTGTCTCTCTACTGGTTCCCCAAAACCCAGCAAGTGAGTAAGATTCAAACATTTGGTGATAGTCAAGAGACCTGAATCCTTCCCTAGTATACAACCTGAAAATAAGAAATTAAGAGTATATTAAATTATTTTATGATAGCTAATTTATTTCATGTCACACTTCTTTAGGTTCCTGTCTGTGCAAACATACTCACACAAATGAAAATATAAATGAAAAAAAAAATAACCTCATTGGAGGTACAGAAGCCATCTATAACACTGCAACCTCCTACTGTAACAACTTCCTTCTGGGCAATGCTTTCTTCCCTACTTTTTTCTACTCTACTTCGGTAATTAATTAAAAAAAAAAAAAACGTGTATTAAGAATATTTGTGTATATACCTTCAATGTCCAGCCGATTTAAGATATCAGCAGCTACAGCATCCACTTCTAACTCACATGTGCTCTGTGGTTCAACACCTTCCAGTATTAAAGAGCTGCATCAAAACATGCAGTAATTAAGAAAGAACAGATTTTCTTAAGATTTTTCTTATTTACATAATTTCTCATATTAAGGTGGTAATAACAATGATATTATATAAATTACAGTGATAGCGTGATAATTTACAATTATTCACGACATAATTGATACTATGTGTATACATAGAAAGAAATAAAAAGCAGGAAGAGAAACATACAAAATCTGTTACACTGACAATTCCATTGTGATCTTTTTGCAGTATATTTTACGTATTTTTCTTCGTTGTATTTTATATATAAGGAATGTAAATTGTTTTAGCACGTGGGTCATATCTGGAGCAGAATGGGCTAAGATAACAAGGGGACGACAGAGGGATGCATTAAAAGCCACACACATATCATATTTTCAGGGGCATCTCAGCAATCACAGATGGTCAAAAAAAAAATAAGGAGAGAACATGCAGGAAGCAATGAAGGGAGGTGAGCATACTGAGAAAAGGACAGATGATACTGCCCTCCCTCCCGGCTCTCAACTAGTGCTGCCAGGGGGGTGCTTACAAAGTCTGTATAATGACAGATTTGGGAAATCACCTCAGTTTAATGGTGGGATCATAGCTAGGAAGAGTGGTGACACCATGAGGCCATTAATTTTTATGGAAACTACAGAGGAATGTTCCCCACTAAAGCTTTTTGACTTAAAAAGTGTTTTTGCTTTTCATAAAAATCACAAAAGAAGATTAGGAAGATACCATGTAACAGTCCCTTCTTGACAGAATGAACATACGTCTAATGTGGATATCAGTCTTTAGACCTCCTACCAATATGGGCAGGAGGAACTTTTACCAGAGAAACTTTTACCAGAAAAGGAGAGAACTTTTACCAGAAAGTGGGTTTTTGGAGATTTCATTAACATTTTTATTTTAAACATTTGTAAATGTTTTAAGAGAAACATATTAGCAAAACCTCATTTTCCATTGGCTACACCCAAGGATATTTTAATGGAACATTAGAAATTAATTTGTTAAATCACATAATTTTTATAATTCAAGTATATATACCTATAGACACAAACACACATACACACACACACATCTTTTTACCACTGAGAGAAGGGACATAATAGCCTACCTATCACCCTCAGAAAAAAAGTAATTCTCATGTTAGTCATGAAAGGCATATAAGCAATATGATTGTAATCTGGCAATTGTGCCTCTGTGAACGAACGCTTCTGTAGATAGCTTAACACAACAGACCTATTAATTAGAATCACTGACGGTGGCGCTCACACATCTATAATTTTGAAAGTCTCTTCAGATCATTCTGATGGGCAGCCAACATTGAGGTTAGTGCAGCAGAACTTGACTTTTGTGGATTCAACACTCCAGCAAATGACCCTGAAGGTCCATGACATGTAGTAATTACGGTGAGCTTGCAATTAGTGTGAGTAGAGCTGCTAACTCAGCACTCTCATCTCATCATGAGTTTGTTATTATTTGTTATAGCCTTTGTAATAATGTTTGTGAAGGGATAGAAAACATTTCTTCCTTAAAAAAAAAAAAGTGCCAGCAGAAGGTACTAGCACTGGGGATAGAAATGAGACTAATAAAATGTAAGAGTACTGATCTATGGCAAAACTTTTTGACACTCTTATTTGTACTTGATGAAATTACAGATTTTCATTTTTAACACAATATAAGCAACCTCAAAATAAAAATCTATGGGATAATCTGAGACAAAAATATACAGCTACATTTATTATAAAATCTAATCTGAATATCTTGCCTAATTTCACTAGTTTGCCTACCCTTATATTTGCTTATAATTTGTCAACTCTTAAAAGTAATAAAATAGGCTCCTTAAAAACATTCTAAAATTCAAACTTTTCAGTATAATACACAGGGTTTTTCCAAACTTACTCCTAGTCAGTGAAGCTTTACTACAGTCTTATGACCTAACAAGAAAGATGGTTGTTCATAAAGGTTTCAAATACAAATAAACTTTGATTTTAATTGATCATGTAAAAAATAAGTTACTAATTGTATAACTTTGAAAACTAAGGAATCTAGCGAGTAGGTAAAATCCTTGGGTCAAGTTGACTTGCGTGGATTTTAGAGAGCGGACTGTAGCACAGGCACAAAAAATGAGAGCAAGCAGCTTGCTGGTCACTTTGCTCTATACTGATTAGAACTTGGATTTGATGTCGTAAGTAATATTCTCTCTAGAATTAATGATAATTCTGCTCTTTTAAAAAGGAACCAAGAAGTACATGTGCTGTGTGTGAATGTGTGCATGCATTTATCAAAAAGTCCCGACCCTTGTTAAGCTAAAGCAAGAGGTGAGGAAAGTCATCCACATAATGAAAGGGAAACCTACTGAATGGGGGAAGATATTCACAAATGATGTATCTGATGAAGGGTTAACATCCAAAATATATAAAGAACTCTTATAACTCAATACTCAAAAAACCAATCTCATTAAAAAATGGACAGAGGATCTGAACCCAGATTTTCCCAAAGAAGATACAGAGATGGCCACAGACAGACAAGAAGATGCTCCACGTCCCTAAAGCAACAGAGAAATGCAAACCCAAACTGCAGTGAGATCCCTCAGACCTGTCAGAATGGCTGCGGTGTGAAGGACAAGAACAAGAAGTGTCGGCAGGACGTGGGGGAAAGGGAGCCCTCGTACCCTGTGGCTGGTGCAGGTGGAGGCTTCTCAGAAAAGTTAGAAACAAAACTGTCATACGATCTATCAATTCCCTTCTTTGTTTTTGTTTGAAGAAAATGAAAACACTAATTAGAAAAGCCACAGGCACCTCTATGTTCACCATAGCACTATTTACACAGCCAAGAATATAGAGGCAACTTAACTGTCCACGGGTAGATGAATGAAGAAGATGTAGTGCACACATACAATGGAGTATCACTCAGCCATAGAACTGAATGAAATCCTGCCATTTGCAACAACACAGATGGACCTAGAGGGCATCATGTTAAATGAAATAAACCAGAAAATGACAAATACTGAATGATTTCACTTACACATGGAATCTTGAAAACAAAACAGAAACAGTCTCATAGGCACTGAGAACAAGCCGATGGCTACCAAAGGGAAGAGGGTGGGGTGGTGGGCAAGCAGGTCAAGGGACAACCTTCTAGTCGTGAAATAAACAAGACATGGGATGTGATGCGCAGTACAGCCAAGATAGTCAATGATATTGTGACAACTTTGTATGACAACTACTGGTAACTAGACTTACTGTGGTGACCATTTTGTAAAATATATAAATACCAAATCACTATTGTGCAATTGAAACTCTACAATATTACATATCAATTATTTTTCAATTAAAAAAGTACAAATTCAAATTTTGGAAGGAGGGGAGAAAAAACACTAAAAAAAAAAGGTGAGCCAAGTCACTGACTTTGAAGTCTCTGAAGTCTCATTCTGGTGTGACATTCCATTAAAAAATGTATTCATATCATTATTTAATGAGATTCTTTCTTAATTTTAGGTAATAAAAAGCCCAAGAAATTCCATAATATGAAAGTTTTACCAAATACATATTAGGATCTTAAAATACATAAATTAAGCTCCAAACAAAAATTTTTATAATAGTTTGTCTTCAGTTAGTAAATTTATAATTTATCATGCAAAAAAAAAAAAAGTCATTTAACAACACTTTTTCTATTTTGCACTCTTCATGAAAAATATCTGCTTTAAAAGCATCAGGGGGAACGAGAACAAATAATCCTAAAATTCATACAGAGCCACAAAACACCAAAGCCATCCTGAGAAAGAAGAACAAAGCTGGGGGCATCATGCTCCCTGACTTCAAGCTCTACTACAAAGCTACAGTAATCAAAACAGTATGGTACTGGCACAAGAACAGACCCATCAATCAATGGAACAGAATAGAGCCCAGATATACATCTACACATATAAGGTCAATTAACAAATGACAAAGGAGCCATGAACATACAGTGGGAAGAAGACAGTCTCTTTAATAACTGGTGTTGAGAAAACTAGACAGCTACATGCAAGAGAATGAAACTGGATTATTGTCTAACTCCATATATAAAAGTAGACTTGAAATGTATCGAAGACCTGAATTTAAGATATGAAACCATAAAACTCTTAGAAGAAAACAGGCAAACATCTTTTGAACATAAGTAAGAGCAATTTTTTTTCTGGATGCAACTTCCCAGGCAAGGGAAACAAAATGAAAAATGAACTAGTGAGACTACATCAAACTAAAAAGCTCTGTACAGCAAAGGGCATCATCAGCAGAACCAAAAGGCAACCTACTTTATGGGAGAATGTATTTGTTGACAATTTACCCAATAAGGGCTTCACATCTAAAATATATAATGAACTCATACAGTTGAGTCCCCAAAAACAAATAACCTGATTAAAAATCGGGCAGAGCATCTAAACAGATGTTTTTCCAAAAAAGATATACAGATGGCCAACAGGCACATGAAAAGATGCTCTAAGTCACTAATCACCAGGGAAATACAAATCAAAACCACAATGAAGTATCACCTCACACCAATTAGAATGGCCACCATCCAAAAGACAAGAAATAACAAGTGTTGGTGGGGATGTAGAGAAAAGGGAGCCTCCCACACTGTTGGTGGGAATATAAATTGGTGCAGTCATTGTGGAAAGCAGTATAGAGGTTCCTCAAAAAACTAAAAACAGAAATACCATTCGACCTAGTAATTCCACTTCTAGGAATTTACCAGAAGAAAACAAAACCCCTGGTTTGAAAAGATACATGCACTTCTATGTTTATCACTGCATTATTTACAATAGCCATCCTAAGTTATGGAAGCAATCTAAGTGTCCATCAATAGACAAATGGATAAAGAAGATGTAGTGCCTATACACAATGGAGTATTACTCAGCCATAAAAAAGAAAAAGGGAATCCTGACATTCGCAACACCATGGAATGGAACTTGAGGGTATTATGCTCAGTGTCATAAGCCAGATGAAGAAAGACAAATACCACATGATTTCACTTATTTGTGGAATCTAATAATAAAACAAAACAAAATGAACAAAACAGCAGTAGACTCACAGACACTAAGAAGGGATTAGTGGTTACTATGGAGGAGGGGTTGGGATGGGGATGTGGGAAGGCTGAGGGAAATAAAGAGGCAGAAAAATTCTCAATCATAATATAAGTTGGTCACAGGGATGGAAGTGCAGCATGGAGAATATAACCAACGATTCTGTAACATCTTCCTATGCTGACAGATAGTTACTGCATGAGGGAGGAGGTGAGGATTTAATGATGTGGGGAACTGGTGAACCACTGTGCTGTACCTGAATCCAATATAAGGTTGGTTTCGATGATACTTTGATAAAATCAAATCAGTGACCCTTCAATAAAATGATATATCAATGGTACCTCAATATAAATATCAATGAGCCTTCAATTAAAAAAAAGCATCAGGGGACATATATATGGTGAAAAAGGAAAACCACAGCCACCCTGCCAACACCCAGCTGAAAAATGAAAGTGTCAGACAGCTGTGGGGACATTTTGGTATAAATTCCTCTGAGTTCTATGTAGACAAAGCTATACTGATAATTTAACTTAGATAGATACATATTACATATCTGCTGTATGGTAGGGAATATGGTAAGGAAATCTAAACATTTAAAATATGTTACCCCCACCCAAAGAAAGTCAAATAATAACATGGTCAAAAGAAATAGAAAATTATATTATTCATACAAAGTATGCCAACCCATATTTTTTCCATAAATATTTAATATTTACAAATTTGAGGTTACTTTTATTAAAGCACTTGATACTTAGGTTTTAAATTGCTATTTTACTATGTGATTTTTTACTTGGCAAGTTATAGGATATTGATTTAGAATGCATAATGAAGATGGACGTTGGAGAGAAGTATGAAAATTTACATCCAGATTCCTTTATTAATTAGGTAATAATTTAGTATATTTTCATGATCTGTTTTGAAAGTCTCTGATTCCATGTAACACACTAATGTTGAGATTTACTTTTTTGATAGTTATAGATTAAAAAAACCAAATATAGTTAAAATTCAGTTACAGTAACCACTGATTTCTGAATATAGTAGGATATAGATAAATAAGTTTTATTTTCCTTTACAACACTAACTAACCTTGGTATTTCATCTTCTTCCCACCGAAATAAAGTACCAGTAAAAGAATTTCCTGTTAGCCGATCTTTGCAAGATCCAGTTGCACACAATGGATCACCTAGAAATATAAAGGTAAAAGGGAGTAAGTTCTACTTTTAGCCTGCATGTAATTACCCTTAAAGTAAAATAATATACAACTGATAAGACTAGTTCCTAAAACTGTGTCCTAAAAATTCTCTAACTTTCAGCAACTTCTCTATGATCTCTTGTTGGAATTTAAATTTTCAGATTAAAAAAAGCTTGACTGAGTGGCACAGAAAGAATCCTTACATTACTAGAGATACTACATTTGCAATCCTCTCCAGGTAAATTTAAAACTTTGATTTTCTTATTTGGCTCACAAGACTGCATATGCACAGTTAAGAGTGATGGTTACAAACGAAGAGGGGAAAAAGTATTTGCAGTAGATGAACAGGGGGAAGAAATGGCTACAAGACTTCCATATTAGAATAAAAGTACGATACATTTTAATGTGCTACTGTGCTAAGTACATTTAAAACACATTTAAGAAGGATCAAGAATTTTTGTAGACTTTAAATTCCTAAGGTATTCTGTATAAGCCTCAACTAAAATTCTAAAGGAAATCAGATTCCAGATAAAATTCAAAGCCTTAATACTAACCCCTGAACAGAAAGAAAATACACAATGTATTGCAGAAGTCACAGCACTAACAGCAGAGACCTGGGGAAAATGTACATACAACTTTCCAGCAGCGAGAGTGGACGACATACATTCGCTTAATCATTGCAGTTTCAGAAACTTGAGTTCTGGGTCATGCTTTGAAAGGAGTCTCTAACTTTCAGCAACTTCTCTATGATCTCTTGTTGGAATTTAAATTTTCAGATTAAAAAAAGCTTGACTGAGTGGCACAGAAAGAATCCTTACATTACTAGAGATACTACATTTGCAATCCTTTCCAGGTAAATTTAAAACTTTGATTTTCTTATTTGGCTCACTTGATCATAAAATGTATACCATTTAGACTGAGATCAGTATTACCATCTTTGCTGTTTCGCAAAACACACACCAAAACATGTAACTGATTCTCCACACCATCATAAGTTTTTAAATGCTTTACTGTTATTATATATCTAGGGAATTTGTATGAAATTACTTAGCAAGTTGTAAATTATAATTACCCTTAATTATTAAATATTATTTTGTAATGAATTTAAATGAATAAAGAATTTATACAAGTTCACTAATTCAGTTATCTATTGCATTATAAAAATTCACATTTGACCTATACTATATATATATTGTTTAGCGTATTTCCCTAAAGAACATGGAAACTCCCTAATTAAATCTGATTTATTTTCAACTGTGGATATTAAAAATTGTACTATAAAATGCTACTCAAAATATTTTCTCTATTTAAGTACTTCTATATATATATATCACCTTAATAACTATAGTAATTAGCATCATTTCCATTGCATTTGTCAACTGATTATATAACTGAAAACTGATTCTATATGCATACATAATATTAAAGTTTCTAAATCCCTTTCACTTTTGAATTTGTTCTACTTTCAAAAGAAAGACTATAGTGTGTACTACATTAACATGTCTTACAGATAAAAATGTTAAGTCACACATACATATATTTCCCATAAGAAGTTTACTGTCAGTTTAACTGTAACATGTCTGAGATAACACAGCAAAATACAAAAAAATCATCCACGTATACTTTCTATTACTATTATTAAGGTTATATCCATTTGAGACTCTACCTTGCTCTACAGAAGGTTCCAACCTGTCCAGCAGGCCCTGGGTTTTTGTTTCTGTCTCCCTCACCTAATAAGACTGTCTCAATGGAGGTTCTCTATTTCCCAGGATCAGCAAACCCCTCAGGGCAGATGCAGAGTTACACATTCAGTACTCCATTCCCTTGTTTGGCCAGTACTTCTCTATCATTTTATAGTCTCTTTGATGTATAGGACGGTTGAGCCCAATAACCTGGTCCACTATTCTGGGGGAAAAAAAAATCCTCCCTGGTTACTTTACAGAACAAAGTTTGGACATGGAAGAAATTGAAGTTCAGCCAAAAAAGAATAGCTGGTAAACTGTGAGACAAAAAATGCTAACCTCTGGGGACTTTTAACACTCACATCAATGGATAGGACATCCAGATAGATCAATATGGAGACAGTGTTCTGAACAAAACATTAGACCAGATGGACTTAACAGATACATACAGAACACTCCACCTAAAAACAGTAGGATACGCATTCTCCTCAAGCGCACATGGAACAACATTCTTTAGGATAGATCACATGCTAAGCCATAAAAAAAGTCTCAGTAAATTTAAGATTAAAATCATACCAAGCATTCTTTTTGACCACAACAGAATGAAACTCAAAATCAATTATAAGAAAAAAAACGGAAAAAGACAAACACATGGAGGCTAAAAAACATGCTACTAAATAACCAGTGGCTCCATGAAGAAATCAAAGAGGAAATAAAAAATACTTGGAGAGTAGTGAAAACAAGCACAACAGTTCAAATCTCTGGGACCCAGCAAAAGCAGCTCTAAGAGGGCAGTTTATAGTGTGGCAGGCCTACCTCAGGAAACAGGAAACATCTCAAGTTATCTAAACTTACACCTAAAGGAACAAGAGAAAGAACACACGAAGGCCACAGTTAATGAAGATTGGAGTGGAAGTAAATGTAGATAAAAAAATACAAAAGATCAATTAAACTAAGAGTTGGTTCTTGAAAAGACAAACAAAATTGATAAATTGTTATCTAGACTAATCAAGAAAAAGAGAGACTTAATCAGAAAATGAAGGAGAAGTTACATCTGATACCACAGAAATGGCAAACAATTATAAGAGAGTACTATGAAAAATTATATGCCAACAAACTGGACAAGAAACAGATAAACTCTTAGAAACATGAAACCTCCTACGACTGAACCAGGAAGAAACAGAAAATCTGAACAGACTGATTATTAGTAACAAAATTTAACCAATAATCAAAAATCTCCCAAGAAACAAAAGTCCCAAGTCCAGATGGCTTAAGTGAATTCTACCAGACTGTAAAAAAAGTTTTTACCAGATGTAAAAAAAGTTAAACCTATCCTTCTCAAATTAATCCAAAAAGTGAAGAGGAAGGAATGCTTCCAAATTCATTCTATGAGGCCAGCATTACTTTGATACCAACAGCAGCCAAAGACAATATAAGAAAGAAGAAAAAAAAAAAAAAAAGAGAAAACAAATTTTAGACCAATATCCCTGATGAACACAGATGCAAAAAGTCCTCAAAAAAAAACAATGGCAAACTGAATTCAAAAATGCATTAAACAGATCATTCATCATGACCAGTGTGATTTATTCCAGGGATTTCAATATCCACAAATTGGATGTGATATACCCCATTAACAAAATGAAGGATAAAAACCACATGATCATTTAATGATAAAAACTCTCAACAAAGTGGGTATAGAGGGAACATTCCTCAGCATAATAAATGACATATATGACAAACTCACAGCAAACATCATACTCAATGGCAAAAAGCTGAAAAGCTTTTCCTTTAGGATCAAGAACAAGACAAAGTTGTCCACTCTCACCACTTTTATTTATTTATGTAGTACTAGAAGTCCGAGCCATAGTAATCAGACAAGAAAAGGAAATAAAAGGCATCTAAATTGGTGAGAAGTAAAATTGTCAGTTTGTAGATAACATGATACTACATATAGAAAACCCTGAAGACTTGACCAAAAAATCATTAGAATAAATGAATTTAGTAAATGTGCAGGACACAAAAGCAAAATACAGAAATCTGTTGTGTTTCCATATACTAATAATGATCTAGCAGAAAGAGAAAATTTTTAAAAATTCCATTTACAATTGCATCAAAAAGAATAAAATACCTAAGAATAAACCTAACCAAGGAGGTAAAAGGCCTATATTCTGAAAAGTATCAGACACTCATGAAAGAAATTGAAGATTATAACACCAAAATAAAAATAAGTTTCAAAATTCAAAAAAAAAAGAAACTGAAGATGACAGAAATAAATGGAAAGCTATTCCATGCTCATAGATAGGAAGAATTAATACTATTAAAGTGGCAATACTGCCCCAAAGCAATCTACAGATTCAATGCAATTCGCATCAAAATATCAATGGTGCTTTTCACAGAACTAGAGCAAATAATCCTCAAATTGGCAAGAAACCACAATAGCCAAAGCATTCTCGAGAAAGAAGAATGAAGTTGGAAATACCATGCTTCCTGATTTCAATATACACAACAAAAGCTACAGTAATCAAAACAGTATGGTATTGGCATAAAAATAGGCACATACACCAACAGAAGAGAAGAGAGAACCCAGAAATAAACTCACGCTTATGTAGTCAATTACTATATTATAAAGGAGGCTAGAATATACTATGCGGAAAAGACAAGTCTCTTCAATAAATGATGTTGGGAAAAGCGGACGGGTACATGCAACAGAATGAAACTAGACCAGTTTTAAACCCTATAAAACACTAGTTCTAAATGGATTAAAGATCTAAATATAGGACCTGAAAACATAGAACTCTTAAAAGAAAACAGGCAATAAACTCCTGAATAACTGGCATTAGCAATTTTTTTGTGGATCTGTCTCCTCAGAGAAACAAAAGCAAAAATAAACAAGTGAAACTACATCAAGCTAAAAAACTTCTGCACAGCAAAGGATACCACCAACAAAACAAAAAGGCAACCTACTGAATGGGAGAATATATTTGCAGATGACTTATCTGATAAGGGGCTAATATCCAAAATATATGAACTAATACAACTCAACACCACAAAAACAAATAATCTAACTAAAAAATGGACAGAGGACCTGAACATTTTTCCAGAGAAGTCATACAGATTGCCAACAGGAACAAGAAAAGATGCTCCACATCCTTAATCATCAGGAAAATGCAAATCAAAACTAGATACAACATGAGATGTCACCTCACACCTGGCAGAATTGCTAATATCCAAAGACAAGAGATAAGAAGTGATGTAGGATGTGGAGAAAAGAGAATGCTCATACACTATCGGTGGAAATGTAAATTGGTGCAGCCACTATGGAAAACAGTAGGGAGGTTCTTCAAAAAGTTAAAAAACTGAATTCCTATTATGACCCAGTAATTCCATTTCTGGGTATTTGCCCAAAGAAAATGAAATTACTAATTCAAAACTATATATGCACCCCAATGTTTACTGAAGCATTATTTACAACAGCCAAGATATGGGAGCAACCCAAATGTCCATCAGTAGATGAGTGGATAAAGAAGATGTGGTACTTATACACAATGGAATATTATTCGGCCATAAAAAAGAATAAAATCTTATTATTTTATAACAACAAGAATGGACCTAGAGTGTATTATGCAAAGTAAAATAGGTCAGACAGAAAAAGATGACATGATTGCACTTACATGTGGAAACTAAAAAAATAACAACAAATAAAGAAAAACAAACAAAACAGAAATGGAGTCATAAATACAGAGAACAAACTGGTGGTTCCATGCAGGTGGGGGAGTAGGAGAAATAGGTACAAGTGATAAGGAGGTATAAACTTCCAATTAATAAGTAAGTCACAGGGATGAAAAGTACAGCATAGGGAATATAGTTATTAGTATTTTAATATTTTTGTATAGTGACAGATAACTACATTTATTGTGGTGAAGACTTCATAATATATGTAATTGTCAAATCACTACATTGTATATCCCTGAAACCAATATAATATTGTATATCCACTATACCTCAATTAAAAAAATGGCTAATTTCTGATTCAAGAAGTTTGGCCGTGAAGACAAAGAAAAAAAATTATAATAGAAAAGACAGTAGTGTTAGGAAAATCATGGGAGAATTGGGGGCAATTGCTAAAGACTATGGAGTTTCTTTTAGACACGTTAAAAATGTTCTAAATTTGCAATGATGGTTGCACAACACTGCGAATATACTAAAAATGACTGAATTGTCCACTTTAGATGAGTGAATTGTATGGTATGTGAATTATATCTCAATAAAGCTGTTAAAAAATTTATTTTGAAATCCTTTTCTTAATAAACTCTAGTACCATTTTGCATACTTCCTTTTACTCTTTAGCCACATACCACTTATTTTATAAATTATCAATTTCATAACATGTCATCAAACGTTTAACTTGAACTTGAGAAATTAAGCTTACTTTTCCTTCTTGCTTTTCGGAACTTGACAGCAGCCAGATTTATTAAATTCATTCCATAGAGATTGTAGTCGATGAAGAGCTGTAGGAGGTAGGGAATATGCGCTTCATGAGGCTGGTAAAATTTATTCATTATGGCTCCACTTTGCAAAAGTTCACATATCCTAAATTACAAAAAAAAATTACATCATAAAATCATGCTTCCTAAAATGTCAAGTGAAACAATGATTATACTAATGTAGATAATAAAAAACATATGAGCACAAAAATTTATCTTTTCAATTTTACTTGAAATTTGTATTTTGTTAGAAATTAAAAGTTTAAAATCAAGTTTTAAGGTAGGCTACAGGCTCCGAAAGAAAATGATAAAAACCTTCTTGGATGAAGAGTATTTTCTCTTCTGAAACCAATTTGAAAATTATTATATTAAAACCAAAATGCCAAAAAAGGTCTTTAAAATAATGAATTTTAAAAATTTCAGAAAGATTTTTGAGATTATACAAATACTTTAAAAAAAAAGAAATATGACTCAATCTACCACTCAGACATGTTACCATTTTAGTATTTTTCTTCTCCCAGTTTATAAATAGTGTCAGTGCTAAGCAGAGGAGTATACAAAACATCTAGAAGGGGCTGTCATCCCACAGAGGCGCAGAGGCAATCTCTGCAAGGCCTTCCTGAAGAGAGTCCCTAAGCTGGAGGTAATGAGAAGTCAGATCATGAGGAGACCAAAGACATCTGAAGATGGATTTGCCTGTGAAGTAAAGAGCAGCGCAGTGAAACGGCCAGGTTAGCCAGAGTCGGTACAGACCAGAGACAGCGAACGGGAAGGTTACTGTGGAAAAACTAAGGTGGCGGCGGCTACAGAAAGGGCCCTGCAGACGTGTTGACACAGGAGACACGCAAGGACTGAAATGGCCGGGCTTGGTGGCTGAGCAAATGTGGAGGGTGAGGCAGAACCGGGGTTGGGGTCACACCCAGACTTCTTGCAGTGAGGCTGGTGCTGCATTCATTAAAATAGGAAGAAGTGGAAGACACATTTGTTTGGGGAATCTTCTTTTGGAGGGGCAATAAGGAAAACTCCATCACAGACATACAGTGGTTCAGGTGTAGTGGGGGGCTTGGCTAGATTTCTATGAAAATACTGGAAATGAATGATAATGAAGATGAGGATAAGAAAAATTTTATTGACACAGCAGGGGCAGCTCACCTATTTTTGAGTACGATGTACTGGGCACTGTGTTGGGTGCTTTAAATGCTTTATCTTAAGGAATCTCCACTACAAACCTATGGTACTATTATCCTCATTTTGTAAACAGAGAAACTAAATCTTAGAGAGATTAAAAAGTTATCCAAAATCACACAAATAAAAGGTGGAGTTAAACTTCAAACAAATTTTCTCTGATTGGTGAGCCCTCACTAATAGCTACAGTGCTATTCTATTTATCCAGTAAATGGTTTGCTATACTGATTAGGAACTCAGGAGGGAAACTTAGGCTTTGATATATATTTGGAAGACAAATGCATAAAGACTAACAAAAACAGACACAAACCAAGGGAGTAGGTAAGGCAGCAGAGAAACGAGGAAATGTAGAGAGAAGAGATGAAAGACCAAGACAGAACCCCCAGGGACAACCACAGATGTTAAAAGAAGTGCCAACAAAATGGCATAAACAAGAATGATCAGAGAGGTCTGAGGAAAACCAGAGGAGGTCTACATACCGACATTTGGCATTGTTTTAAGGCACTCTAGGCACTCTAACAAAGTCAAAAGGTAAGGAAAAAAAGATGTTAATTTGATTTAGCAACATGAAGGTCATTAGTGAAGGCAGTTTCAGGGGAATGGGTTAAGTTTAACTCCATGTTGGAGTAAGTTAAACATTGAATGGGAGGTAAAAAATTGTGGATACACAGAATATAGATAAATCTTCTGGGAGAATAGTTATGAGTATGAAAGTATGCGTATATGAGTATGAATATGTGTGTGTGCACAAAATTAAGTTTTATTAGTATTTAAATGGTGTGGAAAGAGAGATGAAGATAACTTGACATGACTGAAGAGGTCAGAGAGGGCAGATCTTGAGCTTTGGAGGTGAAGGGGGGAATCTCTTTGACTGTAAATAGGCAGATAGAAGGAGAGATTGGATATGAAAAAACTTCAAGGATCTCTGGTAGGAAATTAAGAGAGATTTATTCCAGTGGTTCTCAAACTCTGTGGACCCAGGATCTCTTTTCATTCTTTAAAATTGAGAGCACCGAAGAGTTTTTGTGGTTTATAGACACTGATATTTACCACATTAGAAGTTAAAACTGAGAAATTTTTAAGAAACTTATTTTACCAATTAAAAAAAATGAACCATTATATGTTACATAAATAACATTGCTATAAAAATTGTTACCATTTTCCAAAACAAAAACAATTAAGTGAGAAAGGAGGACTTGGTTTACATGTTTGCAATCTCTGTTTGCTTTAACAGAAGACAGCTGGATTCTCACATCTGCTGTTCAATCTGTCGTGATTATACTGTTTTGGCTGAGGCATATGAAGAAAAACCAGCCTCACACAGACGTGTAGTTGGAAACAGGAAGAATAGCTGAATAGCCTTTTCAGATAAATGTTGATCTTCTATATTAGATAGAAATGCAACAGAGTGGTAGTTTCTTAAAGGTCAGCAACAATGTGGGATCTGACACCACATCAATTAATTTTTGTACTCCTTCACCTTAAAATATATTGGTCTACCTTATACTTTGAATATTTTTACCCATGCATGATTCTCTGGTCATTTGGAAAATACAGACACACTACATTATATACAGGCAGACCTTGTGTTACTGTACTTTGCAGATATTGCCTTTTTTTTTTTTAACAAAGCAAAGGTTTGTGGCAACTGTGTTGATCAAGTTTAATCGGTGTCATTTTTCCACTAGCATTTGCTCACCCCATGTCTGTGTCATATTTTGATAATTCTCAAAATATTTCAAACTTTTTCATTATCATTTTATTTGCATGGTGGTCTATGACCAGTGATCTTTGATGTCACTATTGTAATTATTTCAGGGTTTTACAAACTGCTCCCATGTAAGACGGCCACCTAACTGACCAGTGTGTGCGCTCTGACTGCTCTGCCGTCCTGTCGTCCCCCGTCTGCCCCCTTCTCCTCAAGCCTCCCTATTCCCTGACATGCGACAATACTGAAATTAGGCCAGTCAATGACCCTACAATGGCCCTTAAGTGTTCGAGTGAGAGGAAGAACTGAATGTCTCCCATTTTCATTTAAAGCTAGAAATGATGAAGCTCAGTGAGGACGGCATGTCGAAAGCCGAGATATGCCACAAGCCAGGCCTCCTGCAGCAAACTGGGAGCCAGCCTGTGAAGGCAAAGGAAAAGTTAAGGCAATTTAAAGTCCTGCTCCTGTGAGCACACAGGTGACACAAGGAGAAGCAGCCTCACTGCTGACGTGGGGGAAGCTTCAATGGCCTGGAGAGAAGCTCAGACCAGCCCCAGGATTCCCTCAAGCCAAAGCCTCGTCCAGAGCAAGGCCCCAACTCTCTTCAATTCTGTGAGGGCTGAGAGAGCGGAGGAGGCTGCAGGGGCAAAGCAGGAGGCTGGCAGAGGTCGGTTCACAGTTCAAGGCAAGAAGGCGTCCCCACGACAGAGAAGTGCAGGTGAAGCCGCAGGTGCTGATGGAGAGGCTGCAGAGACTTATCCAGAAGGTCTAGCTGAGAAATTCATGAGGCGGTTGCACTCAACAACAGATCGTCAAGGTAGGTAACAGCCTTATGCTGGAAGAAGATGCCATCTAAGCTGTTTCACAGGTAAGGAGAAAAAGTCAATGTCTGGCTTTAAAGCTTCAAGGGAAGGCTGACTCTCTTGTTAGGGGCCAAGGCAGCTGGTGAGTTCAAGTAGAAGCCAGTGCTCACTGACCATTCTAAAGATCCTAAGTCCCTTAAGAATTATGTTAAATTTACTCTGCTTGTGCTCTATAAACGTAATAACAAAGCCTGATGACAGCACATCTGTTTACAATGTGTGTGGTTTACTATTTTAAGTCCACGGTTGAAATCTACTGCTCAGAGAAAAAGACTCCTTTCAAAATATTGATGCTCGTTGTCAATGCACCTGGTCACCCAGGAGCTCTGGTGGAGATGGACAATGAGGTGAATGTTGTTTTCATCCTGTAACACAGCATCCATTCGGCAGCCCATGGATCAAGGAATAATTTCAACTTTCAGGTCTTATTCTTTAAGAAGTATGTTTCATAAGGCTGTAAGTGCCATTAATAGTGATTCCTCTGATGGATCTGGGCAAAGTAAACTGAAAACCTTCTGGAAAGGGTTCACCATTCTGTATGCCATCTAGAACATTCGTGATGCATGGAAAGAGGTTGAAGTATCAAAATGAACAGGAGTTTGGAAGAAGATGACTTGAGGGGTTTAAGATTTAAGTGGAGGAAGTAGCTGCTGATGTGGTAGAAATGGCAAGAGAGCTAGAATTGGAAGTGGAGCCTGAAGGTGTGACTGAATTGCTGCATCTCTTGATAAAACTTGAACAAATGAAGAGTTGCTTCTCATGAATAAGCAAAGAAAGTGATTTATTAAGATGGAATTTACTCTCAGTGGAGACACTGTGAAGACTGTTGAAATGACAAAAAAGGATCTGGAATATTATATAAATAGCTGATAAAGCAGTGCAGGGTTTCAGAAGACTGACTCCAATTTTGTCCAATTTTGAAAGAAGTTCTTCTGTGGGTAAAATGCTGTCAAACAGCATTATGGGCTACAGAGAAATTGTTTGAGAGAGGAAGAGTCAGTCAATGTGGCAAACTTATCTAATTTCAGGAAACTGCAACAGCTGCCGCCCTGACCTTCAGCAACTACCACCCTGACTGGGTGATCCGCATGGAGACAAAACCTTCCACCAGCAAAAAGATTCCAACTCACTGAATACTCAGATAATAGTTAGCCTCTTTTAGGGACAAAGTACTTTTTCATTGTTATGTATACTGTTATGTACATTATTTAGGCGTAATGCTATTACACACTTAATAGACTAGTCTAGTGTAAATATAACTTTCACATATGCAGTGGGAAACCAAAAAATCCACTTGACTGGCTTTACTGCAATATTCACCTTATCATTGTCGTCTGGAACCCACTCTGCAGTACCTCAGAGGTGTGCCTACAGCTCTTCTAAATGGCACATATTTAATTAAACATTATGGCAAAAAACATTTGTTAACATTATTATCTATCTCATCAGAAATATCTTCAAGTACTAGAACACCTCTAGGTGCACAGCAGCAATACCATTTTAAAAATACTAATTTTGCCTGAAAGCTCAAATTTTATCATTGGCAACAAATACTAGGAGTTTTCTTACTGGAAGTGACAGGCTCATTTTGTTCACTTTTAAGATGTCTGTCAAACAGGCAAACCACTCTACCGTGTCTTGTCTATCGGTTTTTCTCTACAGTGGCTAGTACCGCATGCGACTAAAAGCAGTCGCAGAGTTCTTTCTTTGAGACTGTCAGCATTTCAGCACACACTGTTTCATTTTTTCACATAAAATATCAGGAAGATGTATACCAAGGGTCAAAATTTAATAACATTAACATTTTTTACCATGTCCTCATGGATACTCAAGTGAAAACAGCTTTTATATTTTTAACTGTGACTGCCTTGTGGTGGAAAATACAATGACTGGTATTTGATGCCATCACCCTGATTTGGGCCATAATGCCAGTAGTTTTACCCACAAGCAGTGAATGGAGCGGAAAAGTAAAATCACATCTCAGTAGTATGAAGAAAATAATTTTGACTATGCAGACCCTTGAAAGGGTCTCAGGAATCCCCAGTCTACAGTTCAGCAAAAACTATGTTAGACTGATGGGTTCTACTTCCTCTCTGAAGTAGGAGGCAGGGCCTCAGGAGGGGCTTAACATCTGAGTACTGAGGGTAGGGAACTGCCCAGTGAATTAGAGAAAAGGAGAAAAAAGGTAGGGCGGTGAAGGACTCAGGTGAAGGTGAAGACCGTGAGTTCACAGAGGCACCAAATCTGTTGTGATTTTTTTGTATCCTGCATAGTCAGAAACTAGAGTTTAGTAGAGACTAAGTAAATAAATGGATTAACCAAGAATTAATGGCTTTACCTGGCTGGTAAAGGAGTTGAGAGGATAAAGAATAGAATCTAAAATGGAAAGGAAAGATATTAACTGCAGGTTGAGGCTACAAAGTGGGGCAGTAGAGTTCGAAACCCAACAATTGGTAAGTGGGTGTAACTCAGGGACAGAGTTAAAAAGGTAGAAGGAACAGACAGAAAGGATCTTACTGGAGCCATGAAAAGGCTCTAGAACTAAATTGTAGTGAGAGGTGCACAACTGAGTGACTTTATTAAAATAATTTAATTCTGTATACATAAAAATGTGTGAATTCTGTGGCATGTAAATTCTATCAAAAATTTATTAAAAAGAAAAAGACACAAGATTATAGTCAGAAACCAAGATATCATGCATCTAAAATCTCAGAGATGGGACAAATCCTGGGGTGTGGTCAAGAGAGTGGGTAGTTGAAGAATGTTAATAAAGACCACAAGAGATGGGCAAGTAAAGGGATCAAGAAGCCAGTTCCTAAATGGTACGTACAGTGTCCACTCATTCATTCCACAAAGAGTTATTAACTACCACGTGCCAGACACTATTGTAAACACTGGGGATTCAGCAGCAAATAGAGCAGAAAAGAATCTTTGCCCCTGTGGACTCACATTCCACTTAGTACCAATTTTGCATAGAAATTTTAAAAAGAGGATATGTGCATACATGTACATGTGTATGTATGAAAAGTAGAAGGACCTACACCAAACTCTTAAAAGTACTGCCTCTAGGGAAGAGAATTAACAGTGAAGGTAAGGCCCAGAAACTGAACTTCACATTTTCCATATATATCATAGCCAACTTTTACATACACTTAGTAATATGCTAGGTGGGGTTCTGCATGGTTTACAGATACTGACACATTTGATCATCAGAAAAATGTATACTAACATGAGCCTTATTTATAGATGAGTAAGCTAAGGCACAGAATGATTAAATAATTTGCCTAAGGGCACCCAGCGAGGAAATTCCAGAGCCAGGTTCTGAATGCAAGCACCCTGGTTTCAGAGTCTAGGCTCTTAGCCACTAGCTGCCTTATGCTTCACTTAAATACTTTAACACAAGTGACTGATTATAACACTATTACAAACTAATAAGCAAAAGAAAGAGAATATCTCTTCCCTGACAGAGCCCTGTTCTTCCCCTTCACAGCACGTGCCGCATTTGGTTTGGATTCCTGAGTTGCTTGTGTCTGCTTCCCCTCCCAAGCAGGAAGACCCCCGGAGTGCAGGAACGATGCACACTTCATTCACCTCTGGTTTGCCCAGAAAATTCCACAGTGCATCAATTAATGGAGGCATTTTATAAATATTTAGTTAAAAATGAATAAATGAAAGAATCAACAAATCAGGGAATTTGAGAGGCACTGTGATGGGCTGACTGTATAATTTAAAGCAAACTTACTGGAAATAGTTTAATAAGTATTTGCTACTCAAGGAAGAAAAACAGATTATATTTATACTTTAAGTAGAACTACAGTTTATAGGTTACTCATAAAAGACTTATGCAATTTGTATTCATGGTTCCCTCTGGCACAATTAGGGATGAGAAAGACGAAGAGTAATTGAGGTCCGCACTCTCACCACAGTGTGCGCATGAGAGGCCACGAGCCCACGGGGACGGCTCCTCTGTGCCCCACGGATGTGAGAAAGCAGGACTAGAGGGGAGCTGACACAAGCAACACTACAGTCTGTAAGCGTGTGTGCTGGAAAACTATTTTGGTGCCCTCCGTAACAGAAGCTGTTTGGGGTTAGGTTAGGGGCAGGTTATAGAGAAAACTAGTTTTTACTGGTTACTCCAAGAAAGGAATAAGTATTGGGATTAGGGCTGGGATTTAGTGAGCTACTCAAATGGCCTAATTCTGAGTAAATCTCATACCCTTGGTGGCTGTGTCTTTCTTGGTTTCTAAATTCACTCTGGGTTAACATCCAATTTGTGTCTTACCAAAAAGTTACCTTTTGGAACCTAGTTATCTATTGGTAGAGAGGATCCTCTGAAAAAACAACCCTGAGTACTTCTCCAAGGCCACTTTTACCCTAGTTTGTCACATAGAGTGAAAACCTTTGTTTTGAACCCTCAAGCATGACTGAAGTCTCCTCTGCATGTGCCCTTCCATATGACTTTGGCTCTAGGATTACTGAGAGAATAAGCTACAAACAGATTTACTGAGGAAAGAAAAGAAAAGAAAAGAAAAAAGAGGGGAGGGGAGAGGAGGGGAAGAGAAAAAAACCAACCAGAAACAAAACAAGAAACCCAGGATATGAAATTTCACTGACACCTAATAAGGAGTCAACAGGACTGAGACCCTGGAAGCCCTCCTACTCCAGTCTCCCTCTCAGAGACCTCTCCCTGCTTGGAAACCAAAGAGCAAATCTCTCTTGGCGTTAACCATCTAGTCAGGCTCATAGGACACGAAAATCATATAAGGCAGCCTTCATCGCGCCTTATTTACATCCACAAACTCTCTAAATCTAAGACAGAAAAGTTAAGTGCTATAAGCCTTCACCCTTAAAATATCCTTCCTGGAGACCGAGCCCTAAGTCTCTCTTTCTACCTGTGTATGTACATATTAAGGTCTCTTTCTTTAATAATGTTATAAACTATATAGGACTTTCTTCTCAATTTATCTTTTCATTACTAAAATACTGAAGTGATAGTTATTCATATTTTTATTTCATTTAATCTTTGTACCTTTTCACCATTGCAGGATTGTAAAGATAGATCTTCATAAAGTGTCTTTCCTTTTCATGATAACCATAAAAAGGCCTGAAATAAAAGAAAAACATATTTCAATTTATCTTCATTATTCAGAGATGAAATAAAGCACCTTATTGTTCTACTTAGAGTGAGCTGGCCTAATCTGTTGTGCTTATATTTAGCATTACCCAAAGCCAGTAAGAACCTACCTTTCATTTGAACCTACCACAGGTTAACACAGTAATCTGGTTATTAACACTGGATTGGGTAGGTTAACACAGGAAACACTGGAATACTGTAACCACTTCTTTTAAAAAGTTTACAAATACCACTTTCAAAAAACTCAAGACAAAAAGGAGCAGCAAACTATTTACACCTTAATTTCAATCATCATAACTCTTATAGCAACTCTCTGGTCACTGACCATGTACAGAAAAACAGTCCTTTCAGGCCCCTTCTCCCATTTCCCATTTTCTCTGTCAAAAATTAAAGCTCTTCCATGGAGTGACTTCAAGACACATAGATAAGTGGAAAATGCAAGATATAAAGGTTATTTATTAGGTTGAATTTTGTGTAAGAAAAGATAAAATAATATGTATGCATATATGCTTCTCCTAGAAAAAAGATTCAGTGAAAAGATAAATCAAAAATAAAAATGGGTACCTTAAAAAAAATTAAAACCCTTCATCCACAAAGTTCTTAAATACCACTTATATCACTTTCCTTATTTATCTGTTTATTATTAATTTTGCAAGTTCACTAGGCTAAGACAATTTACCTATTACTAAATGAACATGTGTAACACATCCAAATCTGTGAAAACTGTGCAGGCAAGAACTTAAGAGAAGGAAAAGGCAATAGTCTTTCTTAAGGACTTTGATTATGCTGAGGCTGAGTTTTCCTCAGGGCATTTCTAAAATACTTTGTAAATCTACAATTCTGTTCTCATAACTACTGTTCCAAAATAAAGCCTGGAAATTCTATAAATTCAGTTTTCTGCTTCTTCTGGTTAAGAAAGTCTTGGTGTAATTTAACCTGGAACCCCCACCTGTTGCTGTCAGCTTTTGTTGATTTTGCCAAAAGAATGCCTCAACAGAGACTCTTTGAAGAGTTAGAAAACAGAATGGAGTCTGAGACTAGATATTCTTAAGCTTAAAAAATTATATCCAAGTAGAGTCAATTATTCTGTAATATCTTTCTATGTTGACAGTAACTGTCTGAGTGGGGGTGAAGATTTAATAATATGTGTAACTGTTGAACCACTGTGTTTTATACTTGAAACCAACCTAAGATTGTATATCAATGATACTTCAAATAAAAAAATTATGTTGATAATTAGAATTAGTTTTTTAGTATAACAATGAGAAGAAAAATGAGCACGGATAGGAAAAAAAACTAAAAACCAAAAAAAACCATCAATTAACTTAGATAGATGAAGATCTCTTTATAGGGTATTTTCTAGACTCACAACAGCTAAGTGGCAAGGAGTCCCAGAAATGAGCCTATGGTCATGGTCCTATCTCTTAACCCAGCCTCAGGATAATGCATTATTTAGAAGACTGGAATTAAATCTCGCACAAATTTCAATTTGGTAGCTAGCTGTAACCTTGTCTACCTTAAACAGGTAGAGGATAGAGGAGTAAAGGAATCATAAAAGCTAGAATGTGTGGTAAGGGTAAAGGGGATCCAGGCAAGAAAAAAAATACTAAAATAAGGGAAAAAGAGAATGGCAACAAAAAATTAGATTGAACAAGTTATCTTTTGCCCTGCAGCTATCCAGATTTGTAACTCAACTACTCTTAAAAATATGGCAATGCCTTTTAACAAATACTCATTAAAAAAAACAGAGATTGATGACTAATCATTCATTACACTAGGCTGTTTGGAGATTCAACCTTGAAATGAAAATATGTATAAGGAAAGTTCTTAGAAACCATTAAATATATAATAAGAATGATTATCTTTAACCTACTTGCTGCTCTCATAGGATGGGTATGAGCTTTCACCTTGTTCATTTGAATTACTGAACCAAGCAGTTATTGAGACGTATCTACCAACTGCCCTGAACACCATACAAGGTGCTAGGAATATAATGATGCGGTAAAACCTGTTCCACTTTCTCATGGAGCTTACATGCTGGTGAGAGAAACACATGAAAGTAAACAAAACATTAAAATAATTACAAACTATATAAAGTGCTAAAGGAATCAGAAGGGGCTGAGACAGGAACAGTAGTAATGGCAACCTATTTAAAGTAGGAAGTTAGAGAAAACTTCTCAGCAGAGTGAAGGATTCGAAGGATCGTAGAAGGGCGAGCACTCAAGGAACGAACACTAGCTAATGTACAAAGGTGGCAGAGAGCTCAGCACCTCGGAGGGACTGAAGGAGACCTGTTTCTGGATGGAGCGCTGTGAGCACAGTTACAGAGGCAGGTGGGGGTCAGATCACACAGGCTGTGGTTAGAGGCTTAAAGTTAATTCTATGAAAAATATGAAGCCCCTCAAGGATTTAAAAGACTTGAAAAGGATCAATTTACATTATAGGAAGAGCACTTCTGTCCGTCAAGAGTAAGCCAAGAACAGAAGGGAATTCAACTAAAAGGATCCTGTCGTGGTCCAGCGGAAAGCCTAGACTAAGGTGGAAGCAGCAGATGGATTTAAGATGGATTTCATACAGACATAGCAAACTCAAAACATTACAGTATGAGCTCCTGCTAGCCTGCTCTACAGGCACCTACCGTCGTTTTAGCAACGGACTCAAACTTTTGTCATCATCCTTGACCCCTCTTACACCCTCACTCAGTCAGGGAGCAAATCGTGTTGACCTCAATCCTCAGGACAGATGCAGAACAGCCTCGCACTACTCCACTTCTCACTGGCCTCTGCTAATACTGCAGTTCAAGCCACCATACTTTCTTACCCAGATTAATGAAAGAGAGTCCTAATGCTGTTTCTGCCCTTATCCCCGAATGATTTATTCTTCACACAGTTGCTAAAGTAATCCTTTCAAAATTGTAAGTTAAATCATGGCTGCTCAAAGTCCAGTCCTAGCTCAGACTAAAAGCCAAAGTTCTGAGAACAGCCTATGCAGCAGTTCCCAAACTTTGGTATGCATCAGAATCATCAGAAAGGTGTATTAAAATACAAATTGCTGGGCCCCACCACCAATTTCTGGTTCATCAGGTCTGGGGTGGGACCCAAGAATGTATTATTCTAAGTTTCTAGGTGTGTTAGCCTGAATCTTCCAAGAAGTAGATGCCAAAGTATGCAAGAGATTTCTCAGGGGAACACCTGTGGAAGAAATGAGGCGGCATGAGAGGCTGAAGGGCCATCAGACTCAGGTACAGGTCTGACCCCAAGCGAAGGAGGGAGGCACAGAGGGAAGATAGGTAGTGTCTTCTACTGCAGCATGATTCTAAATGGAAGCTCAGGAAGGCTGCTGCAGAGGCCCTGCAGAGAGTCTCTAAGTGTGTCTCCCAGGAACAGGCCTGCTTTAGGGTCCTGCCAGGCTTAGTCACTGGCTGGGAGTAGCCTGTGGAGAGCAGCTCCGCTCACATGGGATGGCAGCTGTCCAGTGCAGTGGCTGCAGCGATAGTTCAGCTATGCCCCCTGTACTTGGAGATCTGAGAGGTATATTCCTGAGGCTGTCAAACCAGGTGAAGCTGATGTTGGTAATCCTGGAAACTGGAGTATGGAAGCCACACTTTGAGAACCACTGGCCAACATGATCTCCGTCTAGCTTCCTTTGGTCCTGCTCTCCTTTCCCTGCATTTCAGCCACCTGGCCTCCATGCTGTTAATACCCCTTCACCTTCAAGTCTCTGCTCAAACGTCACTGCCCTACAGTGACACCTTCCTGATCCCTCATACAGAACTGCGGCGGCCCACTTCCCCAGCCTGCACACCTGTGCCCTGCCTTGCTCTGCAGCTTCGGTTCTAGAGCACTAATCTCCCGCGTTCCATCGGTTTTCTGTCTCCCCTTACTAGGATGTAGCTTCCTGGGGGGCCAGGACTGTTGTTTTGTTCACCAATATACGTCAAGCACCCAGAGCACTGCTTGACACATAAAGGTGCTCAATAAATATTTGATGAATAAATTACACAAATTCTTACAGTTTTAGGAAGCAGACAAATCAAAAAGTTAAAACAAAAATTAGTCAACCGTCTGTCTTTCACTGCGATAAAAAATTATGGCAAGAAATTCACCCAAGTTCCGTTAGGTTAGAAGTGTAAGAACAAAGAGAGTGTATTTGATTCATACGTTTTCTTTTACATACAATATCAATAGAAATACAGGTAAGTAGAAAATTTAAGAGAGTTAAGATTATATACTTACATTCCTGATACTAATGACACTTTGAACACGTGCTGAGCAGTAGAAGATGGATTGCCTAAAGCCACATTAAGTGCTCTGTCGATACTGGATGCCATCTGAGAAAGATAGCTTTCTGGCTGTTGTCCATGACCATCATATGGCACATAGAGGTAAGGAAAGATGCCATGTAGATGCAGACATGTCTTCTGACCTAAAATGTAACACATTATAAAGTTTAGACATCAGATGCATTTAAAAATGTTAAACGTTACAAAGCACAGAATGCTTCAGATGAAAGTTCTAATGACAACACAGCTTTTCTAAGTTAAGGGTTGGAAAAAACCCACAGTTAAAGCCACCTGTATTAACTACATTTTTCAACAGAATATTTGGAAGCATTTTACAAACATAAGCATTACAGTACAATTTAAATAATTTTGGTGAAAATGTTTGACTGTTTCACCCTCCCAATCTCACTAGTTTTATGTACTTCACTGAACTGCCCTATAACAATACCACTTACCACAATGTTATGAAGCTTACAAAAATTCACTTAAAGTTTACTAAATAAATCAATGATGACTATCTTGGCATAAATGTTTTCAAACTAGAGAGACTCTCCTCTCCTAAGACAGAGACAGTTCTAGGAGAGAGGAGAGGGCAAAAGCAGATCCCGTGTGTGGAACTGTGCTCTGGGGCCTGGAGAGCCAGGGCGGTGATCGGGAAAGGTAAAAATGAAATTTTGCTATTAGGGAAAAAAAACCCAAACAGACACAAACAAATCAAAAGAAAACCCCTACAGATCCACTCTCTGTAGTGGACTTTTGGATATCTAAACTGCACAAGTGGTGGAATGGGACACGGGGGAGACACAACGCAAGGGGAAAAACAGACATGCACACATCCCGGGGGCCACTTTATCAGGCAAGGGCAGAAGGGGCGACTGGTGCAGACCTGCCGACAGACGACGTGACACAGCCGTGATCAAGGAAGCGCTACGAGGAGGAGTGCACAAAGGAGATGCAGAGAAGCAGCAGACCATGACAAGGTCAAGGAACAGCTGCAGCAAGAAAGACCAGCCGCACCGTCACCCTCATGAATCTGTACGGAAGGGGGTCCTGTCCTCGGAGCACCGTCCCCGGTTCCCCGGGGCCCGCGCCACTTGTCTAACCCAGGGAGAAGAGCAGCGAGGGAGAACACACCGGCTCTCATGCTGCCGTCACTGCGCTGCCCTGCCAGCACGCAGCCCCCGGCTTCCTTCCTCACTCCTCATCCCTCTGTTCCCCTGGGCCTTTTCTTTTGGTAGGAAAGTAAATGATTACCGTTTCCTATTCGTGATTAAATGTATGTAACATACATGTAGAATAGTTCTATGCTGCAGTGATATCTTAAATTTACCTTTTATACCTTTTATAGGAATAACATCAGCTTCCTTATTTTCAAAGTACAGCTATAACAGAATTAACAACTAAACCTGGACCAGTTATTACATAAATTATAGCAAAATTGGAAAGATCAGTCATTTAATGGAACAAAATCTATCCCCTCCTGAGTGTAGTATTCTGATTTGAACTACCAATTTCCATACTTCTTAATTACAAATTGTGTTACTGTTAGACCAACTTCAATTTCTATTTTTAGCAACAGTTATGCTACTTAATTTCAAAGAAATGAAAAATATTTTTTTGATTAAAAGCAAAATCTTTGACTATTTTGTGTCATTTCTAAATACAACGTGGTACCATTTCCTAAATACTGCAGTTTTAAAATTCATCAAACAGAAAAAATTCAAACTGTAATGATAAGTGAGTCTTAAGAAAACATTTAATTTATTTACTGATGATCTACCTCAACACTTTTTAAACATCCCATGAAAAAAGATTATCACCATTACCTTTAAGGACACACACCACAATTTAGTTAAGAGCAACTGGCATGCTAAACTATGGGTGGAGAGAGGTAGGGAGATGCAGAAGCATTCCCTTTACAGCTGACAAATAAATCTAAGACCTGGGATTACAGAATTACCAGTATAATGGCACATTTTGTAAGCAAAATTGTAAGTTCCTCAGACAGTAATTTTACAGTACACATATCTTAATAATGAAAATTTGGATAAATTTTACATGAAATAATTATAAAATCTGGTATCTACTGCTAGTTTCTTTATAGGCAGGGTGTTCACAAAGTTCATAAAATTAAAAAAATATATATATATCCACTTCTCACATCTGTGAAGTAGGGGCCAGAGAAATTCTCTTTCGTTTTATAGAAACCACAGTAATTTGTGGTGTATGACTTAAGAAAAAAGCAGAACTAATTTACTCAGCAGGCATGGACTGAATGCTTTACTGATGCTGAGTTCAAGTATCACAGAGGTTAACTTTCTCAAGTCACACACCTGAGTAACTGAACCCAGATTCGAAAGCAAACTGAGGAAATCTAAAACCAATGCACCTTCCATTTAACCATGCCAGTTCGATTTTTTTTTAAAGTTAATGTTGGCTTCCTTGATCCTTAATTCCCCGGTTCTTATTTTGTATTGTAAACGCCTGTTTCCATATCTGCCTCTTCTATTTGACTGCAAATTCCCTGGAAGCTGGTACTATGTCTGAATGATCATAATGTCCCTAGGACCCAATAGAAAACATATGTGTTCAGTAAATATTTATTAAACAAATGAATAAACCCCCAGCAAAATAGGATAACTGATTTAGGAGAAAGGAATGGTACGAAAGCCTTGAATATTCGAAAAGACAAATCTGAAAACAGAGGGATTCTGATACAACTAAGGCACCACCACTGGGGTTACAGGACGCGGCGCTGGGGAGAGTCTCCAGCCCACCGCACTTTCCCGCCCTGAAGGACCCCAAGTCCATTTGCAATGAAGAGAAAGACTTACATGCACCATTCCTCTAATTCTGGGGTCTGCAAATTCTTTTTCAGAAAAGTGGCTGACAGTGAGTACTCTAGGCTTTTTTGGCCATACTGTCTTACACAGCTCCTTATCTCTGCCTTTGTGGCCTGAAAGCTGCCACAGTACGTAAGGGAAAGGGTATGGCTGTGCTTCAGTGGCGTTTCACCTACAAGCACAGTGGGAAAATCCGGTCCACGGATGCTAGTTTGCTTCTTCATCGTCCAGAACAGGGAAGTTTAACATCACCATCACCCATTTTATTTTTTTAAAAACAAGCTGATGATTGGTAACCACAGTCAAAATCATGCTTGCATAAGAGTATCTTAGGAGTGTATCTGAATAAGAAATGCTTATTTTGTAATTTTTAAATCCTCTCTCCCCAAAATCAAAATCTACACAAGAGTTTAAACTAAATTCTACAGATTAAACCAAAAAACTTGGTCTATGAATAGGAAAACTTGTATTTATGGAATTCTTCATGTTTTTTTCTTTCTGGATTATCTTTTTAAATTTCATTATCACTATCATCTCAATCTGTTTCTCCTTCCAATCTTCCTTTGCTTCTAAGATTTTACTCCATCCTTCTTTCCCCATCTGCACAAAACCACCACATGAAACAAACAAAACTCTACATAGTCATAGTTAGAAAGCATGTGTTAGATCACCTATTCTCATAGCCCTAGAAATTACATTATCAGAATTTATTCTAAGGAAAAATTAAGAATATCCATCAAGATTTACATATTAAAATGTTAAGATGTAAGACAGTATTACTAATAATACCCATATTACTAACAGGACTATACCCCTCAAACACCAACTGTTCAAAGGTCTATTTAATTCATACATTTGTCTACTGCATCTTGGTATTTCCAGTGCTGAACATGGTTGGTTCCTTTATTCATAAATGTAAGGATTAATTCTCCATTCATTAAATAATTTGTAGAAGCCCAATGTTAGGTGCTAGGCCATAGGTTGCTCATAATCACAGTCGCTGATTTCACAGACTTAACATTCTACTTGGAGATAAAGATGAGTAAGTAGGCAATTACAGTGTAGTAATTCTATATCCAGAGGATCTAACTCAGATTTGTGAAGTTACAAGAAGTCTTCCCAGAGGAAACAACAAAAGAGCAAGAAAGAATGCTGCAGTATGCACAGAAATCTGAAAACAAATGAGAATGCAGCATGGTCTGGGAGTAGGAAAAATGTAGTTAGATGGAGCAAGGAGTGTAATGAAGAGAAAGGCCATGTGTAAGTGTGAGTGTGTGTGTGTGTGTGCAGACTCTGAGACCTGTGTAGATTAGCATTTTATTAAGTTCCCTTGTGGACACATTGTAGAGAAGCCTGGGACAGAATAGAAAGATCTGTTTAGGAGACTGTTGGAGCAGTTCAGGCGAGAAATGGAGAAAATTCAAGAAGTATTTAGGTCACAGAATTGAGAAGTAACTGATTGGAATTTGGGGGTAGAGGAGAAAAAAACGAAGATGACCCAAATTTTTGGTTTAGACAACTGGATAGATGGGAATGACATTCAAAGAAAACTGGAAAAAAAAAAAAAAAAGAGTAGGCTGATACGTTTTGAACTTGAGGAATTTTACATGTCTATAAACTTTCCAAATGCAAATTAACAACAAAGCCTAATAATAATTAGGTACACAGGTGTAGAGACTGAGAGAGCTGGGCTAGAGAAAAGGTCCCATTTGAGTGTATGAGCAACAACTGGGTAAGACGGCTCAGGGAAAATAGGCAAGACAAGGGGCATAGGCCAGAAACTAGAGGAATACTAATATTTAAGGGAAGAATAGAGGATTTGGATTCATGTGGGATGTGAGAGGATGAGCTCCTGAGACAGCTGCCAGGCAAGAAAGGGAGGTAATAGTGAACAACTGAGAAGTAAGTGTACTGGCCATGGAACCAGAGTCCCAAAGCCTCAGCAGAAATGTATACGGAAAAGGCAATCAGTATGAGTGGCTGGATCAGAGGCTGGAAGCAGGATGCAGATAACAGTGCACAGAAATAGCAAAAGGCACTTCCAGAAAGGCAGAGGAACCATCTTTGAAAACCTGCTCCTCCATAAAAGCAGTAAAAACACTGATAAATGCAGTCAAAATCAACGTTTATTTAGCACTCTGGAAATTAAAGCTTGTGACAGTTCAAGGAGTGTTTATTAAAAAATACCAGTTGAATCAGCAAGAACAGCAAATTCTGTGTTGTTTCAACTTACCTGAGTCCAGCCCCTCCCTAGCTCCAGAGTAACCTTGAATGGAGAGGCCAGAACAGATTTGTAGTTC